GGGTCATTAGTTGTGATAGACTTCCGACGAAATAATTATGTCTAATCATGATTTCGTCCCCGCACGGAAAGGGATGAATCAAACATTTCGCATTTCAGCAAACGGGGCACTTTTATAAGGCATTTCCCATAGTCGTTTAGTCACAAAAAAAAATCGATCATTTGTAGAGACATAAAATTATACAATCGGAAGAGTTTCAAGAATAGAAACACAAATTCTTGGTATTGCCTTGCTAATACTTGCTATTAAAGGTATGGTCGGAAATACGGCCAGAAAGTAAGCCGTTTCTAAAATTATGCCAAAGAGATAAAAAGGTCTGATTTAAAAAATATTGAAGGAGAGATTACTGATTTTTTCGTTAAATTTTCACCTTTATACCTATTCGAAGCAAAACCTTAAACTTCCAAAAAGTAAGCTGATCCAATTGGCAGCAAACACTATAGCGTCCGGGTCTGAGATCGGGTTGCACAGACATCCCAAGCTTAAGATTTGTTTCTTCTTTATGCCATTTTTAATTCCAGATAATGGCTGTGAGTCACTGTTACAAATCCAGGCAAAATAACTCACAGTATAGCTTCATCGGCCTATTTGGAAACCAAACGTAGATAAACCACAAACATTCGCCCAATACTGACAACTGGGAGGCTCAACCGAGAAAATATAAAAAAATATCGAACCTCAACACTAAATCAAACAACAAGGTACAAATTGTTACTTTGCCATATACCACACATACGATATTAAAAGATAGAATAGACTCGGAACCGTATATCATTTTATCTTACAGTTAAAGTCAGTCTATGTTTAACAGTTTAACAGAAATTTCTACACCATGCTTTACCTGATCCTCTGTGTTTGACTAATTGATGGGCAAACAAATGCTAACCGATAGTTTTATTGGACATAAGCATTGGAAATTTTCCAGTGGAAGCTTTATTTCCTAACATTCTACCTGTGTATTATGCAAAATAATGGATCGCTTTAAAGTTCTATTCGGCATTGACTTGACCGCCTCAGGCGAGAGAGGTAAACTTTACTTTGAAATTATCTATTAACTTATTATTATGGCGAAAAATGTTGCTGTTTGGTAAATTGAAACTGATATTTTTCTCAATCATAATTTTTCGATTTGCTACTGATACCTTATTGACCCATGGACTAATTCTTCTATCGCGATGAATATGGCAAGCGCTTTATTAGTTTGCTACGACTAGATATAATGGCTTGCACCTCATTTTCGAGTTCTGTTCGAAACCCATCGATTTAATAACTAATAAATATCGCCAATGAACTGCAGCAACATCAAAAACGATTGAAGTTCGCACAAACGCTGGATGAGTCATAACATTATACGGTGTTGCCGCTAGCTTTGAACATGGAACGTGTACTTAACGGTGTCAGTTTAGGTTGAGCGTCTTTGCATCAACCGGTTCAGTAATTCAATTTTAAGATACTATTTTACGTTCTATGCATAATAGTTAATAATAAGAAACTCTGCTAATCCAGTCATCTTATAATGTACCCGCATGTGTCGTTCAGTTTTCGTGTCTTTTCAAGCCTATCCTACTTCTATACAGCAAGTGAAAATTAATGATAATAACCTACGTTAATAGAATACGTTGTAGCATTTAAAATGTGAAACAAAAAAAAAGCTTCTGCTTCTTGCCCTCTGCCTTCATTTTCGCCTGCACCACTTCAGAATACGGAGAATGATCTGGGGGGAGAGAAAGGGAGAGCAAGCGTTTGTGCAAATGCGGAACAGAGCGCTTGACTTGCTTCTTACACGCGACCCGAAATGGAATGGCAGTTGCCGTCCCTCTCACACCTTCCTTCGATGGGATGATGCGTTGCGTTTCTGTCAGTTCCGTCGAACAAGCAGGCGTGTATGGGCTTTTGGTTCGTCCCTGTATGTGCGTGACGGCTCAGTGGTAAAATACCTACCTACTAAATTTAAAGACACATAGCAAGGTGGCCCAGGTTCGAAACCCGGCGTAGACACAGTAGCCATCAGTCTAAAGCAATTAAGGGTATCATGTACTACTCGAAATTGACAGGCTCAAAATATCTGTTTACATTGCCCGTAGGGCTTTTACAAATTATGATAATCATCATAAACATCAATGATAATTATAACGACAATCATCAACGGCAGGGAATAATAACAGTAACATCATCGTCTGTTTCGTCGCTGGTAAGGCATTGGTCTTGACATCGCTAGATCAGTACGGTTGCTTACTTCGCCGTCATCGTTTAACTGCGCTTATTTATCGTTGCCTTTTTCCTTTTGAATCTCCACATACTATTCGGTATATATCGAATATATATGATAGATATATAGATCGGTATTAAGATACGCCCTTTCGATCTTTCCTATACAGAAAGGCAATGCCTAAAGGAGACGGAAGATTCGATGTATTTAGCGCCGCGGTCGATTTCTTTCCCTTCGTATCCACCTCCTTCCTACGCTCTCCACTCTCAATAATTTTATATTATAGCTACAAGGATAATAGAACTGACACTACAGCTAATAGGACCACCTGCAATGATGCCTGTTTTCCAGTGAAGTGGTTTCATGTATCGAACACGCATCAATATAACTGTATCTGCTAGCCACCAACTAATGTTGTTGTCATTTCTAAACAGCTATTCACTCGTCCGGGATCCAGTATAGTAGAAATGGATGGGTGGCCATGGAGGTTGGAGCGAAGGAGCATATCGCGCTGCACCAGCAGCAGGCAGGCAGGCAGGCAACGGCCAAGAGAACTCACTGCATTTGGAGTCACCTGGGGGAGCCGAAGCACTCCCCAGATAGGGAGAGGCAGAGGTTTGAAGGCGAACTGGCGGAGGTTTAAAGGAGCAAGTTGCCACCGACTGACTTCGGCACGAGACTGCCGTTGGAGACACCTACACCGAACAGCATCGAGATGAGTCTTTCAGAAGCTACTTCTCTTCGAACTACGACGACGAGGACGGTGACGGCGACGAAGGGAAAGTTGAGAGCCGAAGCGAGAATAGAAGGAGAGAGGTGCTAGAGGCGCCCTCTGTCCCTTCTTCATTCAATAAAACTTTTTCCTAATTCTTTTGTCGTCTTGCTACCTCATGTTTTTTATTTTATCTCTGGTATTAGTTTTATAATATAAAGTTACTCCTCGTTGTCCAAATTCACTAGAACGTTTATCTAAATGTGTTACGGTTTATAGCACAAAGAAGAGCTATCATAATCGTCGTCATAAGACAATAATATAACATTCACACAATTGGATATATGTATGAAGCTATGGACTGAGCTGGCACTGTTAGCTTTTGTTAATTCACAGCATTTACTACATGTCTTTGCTATCTGGTGATTTTAAGATGCGTTGCACTTTTCTTTCGTCGTCAAACTCTCGTCTGCAGCGGCGCGAGTGCCTGGCCGTGTGCTGGGTTATGCCTGAGTGTGTGTGTGTGTGTGTGTGGGAGCTGAGCGCGCCTGTTGTGTGTGTGTTTTTATTCGTCGTCTTTTCGTCTGGACGTCTCGTTCGGTCATGTCTATATGTATATGTGTGCATGTGTGTCACTCTCTCTCTCTCTCTCTCTCACCCTCACTCGCTGTCGCTCTCTCTATCCTCTCGCTGTATATTTGACTGGGTGCGTGCGTGTGTGCAATGCAGCTTTTAGATTAGCCAACACTCTCCGCTTTTTCTTGCTTACTCGAGGGGTTCGTAAGCTACTTGCGGCGCTTGCGCTCTGCAATGTTCACACACGCGCTCAGAGCGAACAACCCACAGTTCGCAAGCAAGCTGTCTTGCTGGTAGGCAGAAAATGCATATATATACAGGCCCATAGGCACACATGCATGGAGACAGACAGACAGATGGACGGACAGAGACGCACTACCAGACAACACTGGTACGGACAGGCCGGACCTAGCCAGCTAGCGGGCGATCAGCCGGCGGGCCGACCGACAGTTAGAGAGACATACGGACGAACATACGAGCCGACAGACACCCACATACACTCTACTCGATGGCGGTAAGACAAATTTTAAGGCTCATCATCATCCACACTCCATCCACAGTGGTGGTGGCGGCGTTTGCTGGACTGCTACGCTCGTTCAGATAGCTTCTTCTTCCTCCATCCCGCCGCTACTGCTGCTGCCGCAGCCTGCGCTATTAGAAGCCAGGCCGAGAGACGACAGCAGTAACTGCAGCAGCAGCAGCAGCAGGAGCCGCTGGCTGTCCTCTGAGCCGAGCAGGCGAGCCGGCTGAAAGAGGGACCCACGACCGATCCAGAAAGCCCGTGAGCTTGTGAGCCTACCAGTCGCGCTGCCTGGCTCAGCCGACCCGTCTTGGGCTCAGTTGAAAGTTGGCGGGACTGCGCCGACGGGTGCTCACCGCATGGTGGCGCTGCCAGCCCACTCGCGTTACGAAGGAGCTACTTGTGAGCTGGCGACGCCGAGCGCCGCTCACAGTTCAAGATGGCGGCCAGGTTGCTGCAGCGCCATTGAACGACTATTGTTTTGTGTGTGTCTGTGTGTGTGTAAAGAGCGAGCAGCAAGCTAGCCGTAAGCAGGGAAAGCAAGCAATGTTTGTGAGTGTGTACATACACTACTACATATAGAGTACGCTGGAGAGTTGTGCGAAATTTGGCCGAATTCGTGCGGATTTCGGGGCGGCGTGCCCCGCCAGCGGCCAGTGAGAGGTGAGATGACATCGGTGGACGTTAGTCCGTCGACGGATTAAGCTCGAGGCGGCGACCCCGGAGCTGCGTTGGCGCGGTGACGCTCCGAGAGGCCGACACCGGATCCGGCGGCCACAACGCGTCCAACGACGCCGACGCGCCCGGCATTCGACTCCGGCCGCAATAAGGCCGCGTTTTTACCACACGATCTCAATTCGTTGTCGGCTGTGTAGCGGCCCAAGCCGAGCGTCGGCCCGCGTCTCACGCCAGCATCGCGGCAGCGCCTAGAGTCAGCGAGAGTGAGTTTGTGTCGTTGATTTTTCGCCGTCTCTAACCCGATCCTTTATGGCCCTACTCGACGGGACTCGATATCGAAATCCATTGCTACCGCCGCTGCTGCTTATCCATTGGCTAGCTATCCATCGGCAGGCAACTGCTTTTGCGACTATGCGGCTGTGATGTTATGTGCTTTGCTACGCCGTGTTTCCCTAGCCATCAGTGACGAGTGGCAATGGCAGTCGTGCCGTACCTTATGACTGCCAGCAGTAGCCAGCGTGTTATACTAGTTGGTACGAGTTGTGATTATAATGCACGAGTGTTATATATGGGCGATAATATGATTGATGACCAGCCGGAGCCTGACAAGCAGTCGTCTCCAGTAAAGCAATAGGCAGCCGTTGCTTATCGTGTTTCTCCAGTGTTGTCCAGTGCTGCTGGATTCAGCGGGCCGCTGTTTTGTACCGTTTTTGTTGTTCACTCTTTTGAGAAATCGTGCGTGAGTCGTGTGTGTGCTGAAATCGGAATTCTGTTTGCCGCCCCTTTGCCGTCGATCAGCCATCTAGCTAGAGCTAAGACTCAGGATCAATGGCTAATTGCACGACGATACCGACTCTAACCAGGCAGAATACAGTTTCATATCATAAACCACCCGCTACGACTTCGACTACTGCTACAGCAGCAGCATAAGCAGCAGCAGCACCGTCGCTGGCGTAGCCATAAGCGTAACGGTGCGGTTGCTGCCGCCGAACTCGAGGTGAAAGCTGGTGCAACGGTTAGCGACGCCGCTCAATCGGGTGTCGATTCATTTTACCATGGTTGTGTGTACCTCTTTCTACCATGCTGTGTGCTTTCACTTGTGAGTCCGTCTGTCGGTGTGTTTGTCAGAGTGTGTATGCATAGGGCTATTTGCTCCTGTGTTTCGTCATATACATCGAGTCAGATTTTGTGTTAGCTTGGCTACCCCTCTCCCCGAACGACGGAGGCTATTACGCCGGAATATTCAATACGGATGATTGGTGGCGATGAGGGGGGATGGACAAAGAGCTAGATTCGTCATCGTTGAATTTGTGCAAGATTTTTGCCTGAAAATCAGTGAAAGATAAGCCAAACCTTCGAGTGCCTTCGGACAGATCTTTGGGTGTACGATCTGTCTGATCCGGGTTGTGTGTGAGTGCCCCTGTGTTCTTAGGTTCCTAATGCAGGTTATTTGGTTGTTGTCGTAAGTTTCGTCGTCGTCGTCGTCGCTGCCATCGCCGCCTTTGGCGTCGTCGTCGTCTTCGGAGTAATCCCTCCTCCATGGCTAGATTGGGCGAACCAATAGTTAGCTAGTCAGCCAGCCACTAGCTAGTCTTTCGTGTCATCGGCCCGTGTTAACGTGCCCGCCGAGTCGCTCGGCCCGAGACCATCGCTTCTGTGGGCGAAAACCAATATTGCGATGGCTATTAAAAGGCAGACCACTACTATGGCGACAACTAATATTAATGTTGCTGCTACCGTTTCTGCTAATAGTCAATATTAGGTTGGATGCGTCGACTGGACCGCCACTGCTGCCACTATTAGCGCGACTGCCGTCACCGCGGTTGCTAAACACGGGATTGCCCCAATCATATTGTTGAGTGTTATTAGCGACATTCGGATGTAATCTCAAATGTGTGTGGCGTTGTGAGCCTGTGCCTAGAGTGTGCGTGAGTCCGGTGAGTGAATGAATGTGTGCATGTACAGCGGATGGATGCGGTGTGCTCTTTTGGCGGCTGGTCTACGTACGTCTCAGATTTGCTGTGGTTGTGTTTTAATAGTGTGATCTTCCTCGTTGTCGTTGTGCGACGCGCTGTGTGTCTCGTACCGTAGTCTTCTGTATGGGCACTGCTGTTGAATGCGGGGTGAGCAGCATCCATCCCAGTGCCTTAGGCCTTCCCTTGCTGATGTCTCATCATCGAACGGTAGCTGCAGCAGCGACAGCGGCAGCGGCGCCACTACTATCGCCGTCACCACCATCAGCAACAATAACAGCAGCAGCGGTTAAAGCCGGAGTTAATCATTGCGGATACGTGAGAGCGTGACTGTGAGTGTCACGGGTGGTTCACTGGTGTCTCGCGCGTTGTGGTACAATCTCATCCCCAGTCCATCCCAGCCCCATCTTGCGACTTGTAGCTTCGACTTAGTGATCAGTTCGTCTGTTGATGTCGTCTCTATTTGGTCAATTGTAATGGTTTTAGTTGTAGCGATTAAGCAATTAATTTCCTACTAGCACCAAACAGATAGGAGTGTGTGATTGTTGCTGCCGCCACTGCTTTTCATAGTAATTAATTGCCGGACCTAGCCCAGTCGAACTGGGTCGGCGTTTTATTATACATGCCCATAGAGACGGTAATATGCTCCAGCTTTCCTGTGCGATCGAAACAACAACTACAACCAACTACTATTACTACGGCTACTCGTAACGATGTCTAGAGCAGCAGCGGCAGCGTCAGACAACAGAAGATAGGGCAGTCGCCATCGTCGCCACCTCCATCGACCCTACGTCAGTCCATTCGTCCGTTCATCAGTTCCGTCTCGTTCCGTTTCGCTCCATAATGCGGCCGGTGGCGGCCTTCGGTTCCCAACGTGGCACGCTGATCTTGTGCCTGTCGCTTTGGTCTGCCTTGCTGCCCGTTGTTTGACGCCTCGGCCTTTCTTGGCCGCGGCTGCCGCTTGCGAGGCGCTGACCCAACGTGCACAGTTGGTCTGTGTGTGCTGCGGCGCCAGCATCAGCTATAGTAGGAACAGTGGTGTACTTCTCCGTGCTGTTCAGCTCCCCCCGCTGTTGTGTTGACTGGGGCCGAAAGGAGCCACTGACCTGGCTGGTAATACTGCTGCAGCAACCGCCACCGTCGCTGCCACCGCGTTGCAGCAGCAGTGGCGGCGGCGACTACTATTGCTACGACCGTCACCACCATGGCCGTCAATAACAGCACCAGCAGCATCGTTGTTTATTTGAGAGAATCGTCTCGTTGCGCTGTGGCGACGTCGATTGAGGCTGCAGTGCACGTCTGTCCACAATCACAAGTTCAAGCAAAGCGTTCAATTTGAAACTGTGTTCTCCGTTCGTTCTTCCTGTTGTTGCCGTTGTCGTCCCTATTGTTGTTGTTGATGTTGTTGTCAGAACGGCAGTTCTTGTCAACTTTGTGCACCGCTGGCCTGATTTACTGCTGCATTGGCAATCGCGACTAAACATATCAATGTACTGCTTGATATAGTTCGAGAGTATGTGACACGGCAGTGCCTAAGAGTTTTGCGGGCGCGCTCCAGCGACAACGGTGGCAAATCGCGATTTAGATTTGAGGAACTCGGATTGGCCAGCTTGACGTTGAGCCGCTCGGCGGCAATGGTTCGTGGAATTCGTCGTCACCAAGGGCTGACGTAGCCAACATCGTGCGGCAGATAGAGTTAGGTTAAAATGACGAGCAAAGTGGCGTGCGATCCAGTGGCGTAAGCGATGATGACTGCAGCGTGTTATTGCAGATCAAATACATGTGCTACGTACAGTCTCCGACAACGGATTATGATAAACAGTCAGACGATATGTTTCTGTGCGAGCAGGTACCTCCGATAGCTGACATACGGCATTTTGCTAAAGAGTTTATTTACTAATGAGAGCTGTTTGACGTGCTGTGTGGTATAGCCGGTGCTTGTTGGTAAATGCGTGTCTGGTGCTAATTGCCAACGTCGCTAGGATAACACACACGTCGATCGATGGCTATTACAAAATCGAAATGAATGTGCGACCGTTTTCTACGCTAGCGGCACTAGCTAAATTTGAAATCTTGCCTTCAAATTATTTTGGTGAAGGCCGTCTGATGGTTACACCTTTGATGATTATCGGTTCGATTGGTCTGTCTACCCGCGTTAGCCTCGCTGCCACTTTTTTATTAATAGATCTACGGAGTTCAATAGTGAGCGGACTATGACTGATTGTGGCCCAGTGAGCGCCTTATACAAGCAACGCATTTTGTCTTCCTTGAGACCGCAAGCATAGTAACCAGACCATACACCGGGGGGCATTTTGTGAAGGTTATTCGAGTTTGTGTATCTAGTAGCTATTTATAACAGTGTCGAGTGTAACGAAGTGTGCGCCAACCGGATTTTAACGGATTTATTCTTGTTCCACCTGCTGCTTTCAGGAGTGAATTAACTCAGGCCAGGACAGACAAACCTGTAGACATCTGTCCGAAAATCGCAGAAGAAAACGAACACGAAGAGGAACACAAAAAGAAGAACTTCATTCAGCTCACGAGCAAACGCAGCGCTCTGAGTTAATGGAAGGCATTGTACATAGTAAAGTAATATAAACCGAAGAGTGGCTGATATACGGCCGGCCGGTGAGATTTCCGCCGGTACCTGACGCGACATAATGCTTAAGCTGCGGAGCAATCGTTAACCGTCGAGCTCAGCGGTCGGTTCCGTAGAGGCCATGGCGGACTATCAAATGTCCATGGGCCCCGGAGCCGACGGCCAGTATGGCCAGGCGGAGGGCTCGGCTATGGATCAGATGATGTCCCAGATGGGGGCGGGCCAAGCTGGGCATGGCTATGGCCAGCCTGGCATGGGGCAAATGACACAGGTCCCTGGTGCATATGGCCATGCCGCTGCGGGTCAGGCGATGGACAGTCAACAAAAGGCCCAACAGGCTATGTACCCTGGCTACCCGCAAGGTCCAGGGGGAGGTGACTTTGGGCAGCAGTCACTTTCCCAAGGCTATCCGGGTCAGAGTCAGGTATACCCTGGCCATCCGGGACATCCCACGCATCCCGGTCACCCGGCACAAAGCGCCGCGTATCAAAACTATCAACGGGATCCTTGGGGTCGAGGACCGCCGGCGGGCCAGCCCGGCTATCCTACACACGCGGCAGGTGCGGCTGCTGCCGCAGCGGCCGCCGCCGCCGCTGGACATCCCGGCTATGCGACCGCGCCTGGTCAACGCGGTTACCCGGAAGGTTATGGTCAAATGACACAACAGGGCCAGAGAGGAGGTTATCCAGGTTCTGGGTATCCAAGCCAGACGCCACAGGCCTCATTCGGAGCGGCTACTCAGGCGAGTTCAGCGCAAGCCGCGAGCGCACAAGTGGCCCAAGGGGCCCACTCTAGGGCGATGGGAGGTTATCCCAGTCCCATGGCACCTATGAGTGGGGCCCCACAGCGGCCCTCAAGCAGGCCCCAACAGAGTTACCCGTCCCCGTCACGAACACCCACCGATCAGCGCGCACCATACTCTCCATATAACCAATACTCGGCAGGACAGCCGACTTCAATGGCCGGTTCACAGACCAGCTCACTCAACCAAATGACTAGCGGCATGGATCCCTCGTCATCGCCGTCATTTAGCACAGCTCCCGGTACACCTTTAGGAGGTTCGAGTACGCCGGCTAATCCTGGAACTCCAGGAGGTGGCCCGCTGACGCCGTCAACACAGCCGGGGACACCGTCAGGTAATCCAGCGACGCCATCGCCATCTCCTTCGTACCCAAGGGGCTTTCCGTCGCCGCATCGTCGACCTACACCTACCCCGCCCGCCAGCTCGGCTTCACCAATGCCGCAGAGTCAAGGAGGGGTCTCAGCTGCGCAACAATCCCAAGGCTATTGCCCTAGCCCGTCGCAACTTTCCAGCCCAGCAGCTGCTGGCGGCAGTGCAAGCTTGTCGCCGGCAAGTCAACCAACCAGTTCAGGCGGACCCAACTCAGCTGGTCCAACACCCTCGTCGGGTTCAAGTTCTCTTCAGCAGCTCGAGCAGATGGTCATGCCTCATATGGGAGGATCGTCGTCTTCGTCATCGACGAAACGTAAGACTTCAAAAGAAAGGGCACCTTCTGATTAGCATTCTAGTGCATATTGGGTTTTGAGTTTGCCTTCGTTAGTTAGATCGATGACAGGCCTTTGTCATTTTCTTCTTAGCCATTTTCTGTGAATGTCAAACTGTTTTGTGAGGAAGTTAGAATTTAATGTATACTAGAAGGATATCATTAACTTAATCATTTGTTGTATTTCGTATAATTGACAATATTGTATCCGCTTATCCTGTTTCCGATTTCGATGCTGCTGACGGACTGCAGCTTCGACAACGCCAGGCGCGGCGGCTAACCCCCCATCGGCGGCCACCTCAAGTGCGGCAGCAGGCCAAAATGCCTCTGCTGGCCAAATGGGCTACTACGGACAGGGACAGTCTTCGACGGGGGCCCATGCTCAAAGTGGAGGTGCCATAATAAACATTTATTATTTAAGCCAACACAGAAAGACAGTTTTTAGAATCTCACAATCAACCATAGGCATTTAATATTAGCGCAATTGTACATTTATGCGATTAGCGCGTGTTGTTAACATTCTTATTTGTGCTCTCGTTTATTATGTAACACTACAGGTTACCCTGGTTATGGTTCATCTTCGCAATACCCACAAGGTTATGGAGCGCAAAGTGGCATGCCGGCTCGTCGACCAGGCCAAATGGAGTACGATCCGTCAGATCCTTATGGTCAACGTGCTGCGGCCGCTGCGAGCAACACAGGCCGACCACCATATGGGGCACCTCCTGCTGCTGCTCAGCATGCCTACGAACAGTATCAACAACAGCTACAACAGTTGTACAGTATGCCACAGACAGCTCACACCCAAGCTAAGATTGCTGACCTCAACGATAAGATGCGCCAGATGCAGGCGTATTGTACGCCCCAGCAAGGATTCGCTCCCGGAGATCCTCGAGCTGCATATGCTGCTTATTCTAGTACTATGGGGGCCCAGCCACAGACCCCCAAAGAAGAATCTCTGCCACCGTATGGTAGCCAAGCTCAGCAACAGCAACAGCAGCAGCAACTTTTACAGAACGCCCAAATGCATCAGCAACAAGGAGGTCCGCACCCACAGAGCGGTTACATGGCCGCCGCCCAAGGACAGGCCACACGAAGTGGCGCCATGGTAGACGAATATGGACGGCCAACAAGCCAAATGACCAGCATTTCTTCAGGCATGTCTCCCCATGGATACCCAACTGGACCCCAGACACAACCAGCAAGTCAACCAGCTGCGGACCCCTACATGATGACGCCAGATGACCTTATGCCCTCCGGGGAGCAAACTCCTGCGCCTAGCAGAGGACGAGGTTCCCGGGGCCGCGGCCGAAAAAAGAAAGAACGTGCGTAATTGCTAAGGAAAAACCGCTAGTATTTTATTCAATGTATTTTTGATTCACCTGTCACATATTGAAAAAACGAGGTAAAACGTGCCTTTTAGAGAGTGACTATTTTTTTTCGTAGTTTTGAAGGATCTGTGCATTTACGGTAAAAATTAACTTATCCTTTCTGATTCTATTGGCATGTCTGTATTCTTCTTTTTCGTTGTCGTTACTGTCGTCATCAAAATTCGATGCTGCAGCTGGCACCGGACGGGGTCGGGGAGCAGCCGCTCAGCAGCGCCAGATGCAGATGATGCAGATGCAGCAGCAGGCGGCGGCCCAGCAGCAGCAGCAACAGCAACAACAGCAACAGGCGCAGCAACAGGGCCCTTACGGTGCCATGGCCGCGGGCGGACCTATAGGCCACCCGCAAGGTTATCCTCCTCAGGGCTATCCACCACAGAGTTATCCTGATCAAATGGGTCGTGCCATGACCGCAGGACAACATCCTATGTACGGTCAAATGGGACATTCCGGTCAGCAAATGCATCCGTCAATGATAAGTCAAGCTCAACCGCAGATAGGGCAACCACAACAGCAACAGCCACAACAACCTCAGCAGCAGCAGGGGCAATTGGAATCTAGTGGGCAATTGAGCCAGCAGCAGCAACAACAGTTATTGGCACAACAGCAACAACAGCAGCAGATGGGGCAACAACAACCGCAGCAGCAACAACAGCAAGCAGCACAAATGGGAGGTCATCAACAGGCGCAGCAGCAGACACAGCAACAGACACAGCAACCAACAAGCACCATGGGACAACAAGGTCCACAGGGGCCACAAGGTCCACAGGGCCCTGGACAACAACAACAGCAAAATCAACAGATTCCACAACAACCGGCCCCGGGCATGGTCCATGAACCTGGCACACAGATGGATCCATTGGGACAATCCATATATGGGCAAAGTCAGCAGGGTGGGCCTCAACAACAACAACAGCAGCAGATGGGCCCACAGCAACAACAGGCACAGCAACAGCAACAGGGTCATGGCCAAGGGCTTCCTCAGCAAAGCGCTGGAGGACCGGGTGGCTATCAGACGGGAGGTCCTATGTCTTCGCAAGGAGGCATGGCTTCCTCGCAACACCCCCTTTATCAAGGAGGTGAGTGTCTATTATGGTCATTGGTAGTACGAAAATAATGATTCATTGAAGTACTAACTCAGTTAAGTGGAACAGAGGCAGCTACCTCGTTTGGTTCTGCTTAATTAATTTGTTAAATCAATAGTGGGTTTTGCTTCCCTATAGCAGCGTTGTTTTAGCTTGTATATTGATTAGTTGTTGATTAAAACCAATAATGATATGATTACAGGTGATGGCTCAAATCAGTCTAATCCTATGATAAGCCATATGGCCGGTGACGGACAGCAGCCAATGTCACAGCTGGAGCATAAAGGTGACCCAAGTAATGCACTAGGTCTAGGTCAATCTGCGGGGTCGCAAAACCAACAAGAAGTAAAAAAGCCAGACCTTATGCCTGTTGACAATGACCCTTTAGGGGCGCGTCTACTTCAACCTAAACCGCCGGATTTTTTAGTAAGTTTATTTGGTATCATAAGCGCTGTTTCAAAAATTTTGTCTATAAGGCTGCTTCTAAAACAAGTTGTTCCCCTGCCTTCATATATGTTGGAATAGTTATCTGAAATTACCGAAACTAAACTTAATTACTTGCTAGGCAATTCAATTAAATAACTTTTAATTTTGTCGTTCGCTCATCTAATAAAGCTCACCCTACCGGACAATGGATTAAACTGAATAGTACAGAGACAGGTATTAGGTACATGAAAACGAGTTTGTTTTTTAAATTGAATTTACAGCGAGGTCCAGTGAAGCCTGAAGACAGTGGTGAGGCTTCAGTAAAGTCGGACGGCGGTGATTCGCAAAATCTCAATTTGGACCCGACGAATCCAGCCACGCCGAGCCAGTCATCACAAGGATCATCGCAGGCGGCTTTATCCACGCAGGGTGAGCCAGTGAAGTTTGGCTCCGAACTACAGGGTCCACCAGGTGGAAACGATGAGACCTCTGTTTCCAATACTGGACTTCCGGGTGCTCCCGAAGACATCTCAAGTGAAGACCAAAAGCCTGCAGGTGATGATGGAGCGACTGCTACGTCTGAACAACAACAGCAACAACCCGCACAGCAACAGCTGCCCGGTCAACCGCAAGACGAATCAACCAACCAGGCGCTTGCAGAAGTAAAAAGTGAGGGCCTGGGCTCAATGGGAGGCCAGGAGCAACAAGGTGCAATGGCAATAGGCGGCATGCCGCCACAGGCACAGCAGGTGAGCGCACAGGGACCTTCGGTTTCGCAAACCGGGCCTCAGGGTACAGCCCTAACTTCGCATCCGCAGGCCCAACAACAACAACCACAGCAAGGCGGTATTGGGCCATATGGAAGCCAAGGTGGCTCATGGGTTGCGAGTTCACAAGGACCTCAGGGGGGCCCACAAGCTACACCGGGATGGGGAGCTCCGCAAGGTCCGACCTCAGGTAACCCCTATGACCCTTACCAGATGTCATACGGCGGTCAGCCCCCGCCGAGCCAGATGCCTTCTTGGGACCCACACCAACCACTTCATGGCGCACCACAACCTGGTCCCCAAACTGGACCACAACCCGGTCCTCAACCTGGTTTACTTTCTGGCCCACAATCTGGCCCTCAGCCCGGTTCGCAACCTGGCCCACTGCCTGGTCAACAACCAGTACCACCACAAGAAAGCCCCGAAAAAACGAAGAAGGGTGGCCGTAAACGTAAGAATCAAGAACCTCCTGCTGCACCGCAGCCGCTGCCACATCCTGCTGGTCCAGTAGCGGAACAACATCAACAGGTCGCTGGGGCGCATCAAGTGGGTGGGGGATTTCCACCACAAACTGCACAGTTTGGCGAAAGCGGCCCTTTTGACTCACATAACCAGCCAAATCCATATGAGTTTGGGCCAGGGCCGGGTGGTGGTGGCGGAGGCGGAATATACCCACCTGGTCAATATCCACCAGGCTATCCAAACCCTAATGCTCAAAACCCTGGGCCGCCGGGAAACGGCGAGGGCATTTCGTCGGAGGAGGGCGTCGCCCCGGCGAAAAAGCCGAGGAAGCCGCGGACGCCCAAGGGGCCAGCCCAACCGGGGGACGGTCAGGACCCCATGGCCCCTGCCAAACAAAAGAAGCCTCGTGGCCGCAAAAACCACCCGGTAACGGAGGCTTCGGCAACAATGGACCCCAATTCGAGCACGGGGCCACCAACAGTTGGGAATGCTGGGGAATTAACGGGTTCGAGTCAGCTAGCGCCTCCCAGTGATGCGACGATAGCAGCAACAAGTGCAGTTTTAGGAGCTGCAACAAATAGTGCCAGCCCCAAGCTGCCAGACGGAAATCAAGACCCTATACCACCCGCGGACTCCGCGTCAACAACAACGGATACGACCGCCGCCGCAGCCAAGGCCGAAGGTGCTTTAGCACCAGCTTCAATTCCTACAAAGGCGACACCCACCAAGGCTGAGAAAAGGTCCAGGGCGAAAGACAAGGATAAGGACAAAGATAAGGACAAGGACGGTGAGAACAAGGATGGAAAGGAAGGTGGCAAGGAGGGAGGCGAAAAGGAGAAGGAGAGACCGAAAAAAGAAAGCAAGAAAAAGGAGAAAGAGGAGCCCATTTCGGCGGAGCAGATCACTGCCAACCTCAAAGAATCTCGTCTCAAAGCAGCTGCACAAGCTCTCTTCGAAAAAAATCAGAAGAAAGCTAAGTGAGTAATGGAACCCGTTATATCCCATATGGGGACATACCTACAGTAGACTAGCAGAACAACAATAGAACTATTTAAGATGTTTGTCAATCAATCATATTGTTCGTTTGTACACAGGTTTGTTATAGACAAAACGCATGCTTATTTTTACGAACCAATTCTGAATGTTGATGGCACTAATTACAGTAGCAGCAATGGTGGTTAGTTATGATAGTCAAAATGGTAAAAAAGGTTGTTTTAGCAGTGTGTGTTGTTGTTTGTCACGATAACTGAATGAATGTCACACGATATCGACATGGGATGGCGAGTGGTCATGCGGACGACTGTCATAAGACGCGACGCCGCCACCTCGATTTGGTGGTTCCGCTACTGCTATTATTAGCGGATAATGTCAAGAGAGTGGTTTCGGCTGCTTTTTGTTCCCGACGGTCGTTTCTGCTGTCCGCTTTCACCTTGCTGTGCGTCGCCGAAACGACCGCTGCCACCTTGACGGCAGAACGGGCTAGCAAAAACAGCCGGCGCAGAGTAGTTGTCTGCTGATCTTCTACCTGTCCATGTGTCGACCGAAATCCGGAATCTGCACGCCAGCCAGCCGCTTGCCTGGCAAGCACACAAACAGCCGGGCTGGCTGGCTGCTTGACTGGCTTACTGCCACTCGCCGCCGCCGATCAGGTAACCAGCAATTTACTAGCGCTGCCGGTTGGGTTTTGTGGTCGGAGAAGAAGGGCTGCTCTCGCTGCTGCTACTACGGCTGTCGGGGGTCAACGCCCTTGGTGCGGTGCGTCGAGTCGGACAACCAGTCGCCTGGATGGATGGACGGACAGATCAAAAAGGAGCTCTGCACGGCTTTTCACTGATGACGGTAATGGCGGCCGTGTCGTGGTCGTCGTCTTGTCATCGCGTCGTTGTTGCTTTTGTAAGCTAGCAAGAAAAAGCTCCTGTGTGGCGACTGTGGCGAATTAGTGCGCATTGGTGAACACAGCGGTGTCACTGTCCGTATGTTTGTATGTGTGTAAATCTTTGTCTGTTTGTGTGGCGTTCGTGTGTCTGCGTATGGATGTCTGCCTAATGCCTTTTGTATATATTCGTTTTATCTTTCTTCTGGCATCGCTTCTCGTTACTGCCTGTAGTTGCTTGAACTTGCTTGGACATTTACTTGAATGAAAGAAAGCGACTACGAATGGAGCGCCACGATGACGACGAGCACTTCGGTGGGCTGGGGGGACAGAAAGGATAGAAGCAGATAAATGACAAGTGACGGTTAAACGTGATGCCACCTGGCCGATGTCGTGGCGGCGTCGGCCGGCATTGTTGTTCTTGCTGACCCGTCACCGTATCCCTATATATGAAAGTGCACGTGTGCGTGGCTGTCTCTGTGTGCGTGTGTAGGTATAGCGTTGTTTTTGGCATTGTTGGCTTTGTTGTCGTTGTCACTATCGTCGTCCTCGTTCTTGCCATCGCTAACGTTGCTGTTATTGTTGTTGTTGTTGCTGCTCTATTGCGCTTTGTTTGGCCATTTTGTAGACTGCCCAAGTTGAGCTTGAAAATCTCCTCAAAGAAAAGAAAAAAGAAGGGCAGTGAATCCGACAGCGGAGACGATGCCCCGCGGGATAAAGTGCCAGCGCCGGAAGACGAAGATGATTCGAACAAACGTCGCTCGGGGCGGAACGCCAATCGGCGAAAGAAGTACGTCGAGAATGATTTGGACCTCGACGACGAAGAATTCCTCATGCCGGTATAAATTTTTTTCTTCTTCTTTACTTATGCTGACAAATGTTTTAGATAGTACGCAGACACTAGCGGCATAATCGTCTTTGTTGACATTTCGTGATGCATTCCGTAAATCTAAATTTTCATCTTCAATTGCAAATTTTAAATTTACAGAAATTAAATAGCAGATTTCAAAATATTAGAGGTGCTACGAGGTTTGATCTAGTGATATTTGGTTCACTACTGTAAATCATACCATGGTTTTTTTTTGTTAAGAGTACTAATATCGGATATGACCTATATCTATTTCTATTACCTTGCATTGAACAATTTTCTAGACAGTTTATGCTGACTGATTAATGTGTCTCCTTTAAAATATAAATAACTATCTATGGATAATGCGTTAACATGTGTCCGTCCGTACGATAACACTATATTTATATGTTTTTGTATGTAGATTAAGGAAACGAAGGTCGAAAGCAACGTGGAAACGGTTGTCCAAACTGTTGTTGAGGATCAAATGGTGGTCGATAAGGTTCTTGCGTCACGCATGAGCACCAGAAAGGTGCCAAAGAATCTTGAAGGCGATAAGCCGAGCCAGGAAGAAAGGGAGAAACAAAAGGAACTAGATTTTGAAACGATCGAAGTTGAAGAGTTCTTTGTAAAATACAAGCTTCAAAGCTATATACACTGCGACTGGAAGACTGCCGAAGAACTCGAACTGGGTGACAAGCGTGTCGCTGCCAAGATTCGCCGTTTCCGGCAGAAAAAGGACGCTAGTTCAAACGTTATGGACTTCCTCGAAGACGAAGCGTTCAATCCAGACTATTGCGAGGTTGACCGTATCCTTGACGTAGCGGAACATTGGGTTCATAAAGATCAACTGAAAAAGGTTTGTTGGTTCGTTCGCCTAAATTTAAACTAATGCAGAGCCATTCGGTTAGTATTCGAAATTGTCACTCTTTATGTACAATGCTATTTGAATGTACAATTCTGTTTAAATGAAGCCCCTCAATGTCCATAATTCAGACTCTAAATCGAATATTCTAAAAAGAATAATCATACAGTCAACTGATACTGCACGATATATCTGCAGCCTAGATATATACAACCGGAAGTATTGGGAAGTAATGACTAAACTTCTCGAATTATCAAATGTTTCCAAATTGCAGAAAGACGACAAATCAGAAGAGCTCTCTCCAGCAGGGCAAAAGACCGAGAACCCTGAAAAAAACAGCCAAGGAACGACTTCTCCTAAGAAAGATTCTGACACCACTGCTGTTAAAACTGAGGTCAAACAAGAGAAAGTTGAAAAAATTGAGGTCGGGAGAGTTGCAGGCGAAAAGCTTGGCGAACCTGAGAAGGTCGATGCAGAAAAGACTGATGGGGAACGCGTTGAAAATAACGAAAAGGCTGATATTATGAAATCCGAGACTGAGAAGAGTGACATCGAAAAAGCTAACACCAATAAACCAATTGTCAATGAAAAAGAAGATAACAAAAAGGCTACAGAAGGAAAATTAGCTGAGGTGACAGAGAAGCCAGAAGGTGAGCAGGTTAAGGGTGAAAAGGCTGGCGTGAGCACGACTGATAGTGATAGAGTTTCCTCAGGAACTGAAAAGATAGAGCTAGATAAGCAGGTAGAAATGGCCGAGACAACGACGCTCGACAAGGACAAGGATGAAACCGATACCGAGGAGGAAGACGAAGCTAAGCTATCGAAGGACAAGAAAGAGGGTAGTGAAAGCCCCGAAGAGGGCAAGAGCGAATCGCCAATCGAAGGCTCGGATAACAGTGAAAGTAAAAGCAAGACTGATGAAGACGCCGATAAAGATAACAACAGCAGAAATGATGAAACCATCAGTCGAGATATAACCATGACTGATGCTCAGTCAAAAGACCCTGACAAGAGTGAATGTAACAAAGAGAGGGTGGATGATAGCAAACCAACATCAGTTGAAAGTTCAGAGCAAGGTAGTAGAGACGATCAGATCAGGAAAAACGCGTCACCGTCTAAAAATGCAACGTCCTTCGATGAATCTCTGAAAGAAACGTCTAAAAAGGGACAAGAAGCTGTGTCGACTGAAAACTCTAAAGACAGCTCTGATACGACAAAAGCGCCCATCACAAAAGAAGGCGATGACACTGTTAAGGATTTCAAAATTGACGAAGCCGCGAAAGAAAGACAAGCAAAAGAGCCAGACGATAAGGCTAACATGAAGCTGGTTAAATACTATTTGGTTAAATGGCGTGGCCTGCCATATGAGGAGGCAACATGGGAAGTCGAGGACGATGTGCCAGACCTCACCAAAGTCGAGCACTTCTGGAAATTCCGTAACCCTCCACCCAAAGAGCAGTGGAAGTGCAAAAAACGCCCAAAGCCAAACGAATGGCGTCAAATTGACGTATCACCTGTTTACCGTAATGGACAGACGCTCCGCGAATACCAACTTGAGGGAATTTCTTGGTTGACTTTTTGTTGGTATAATCAACAGAATTGTATTCTCGCTGACGAAATGGGATTGGGGAAAACCATCCAGTCGTTGGCATATGTGAACGAAATCGTAAAATACGGTATTCGCGGTCCGTTTATGATTATCGCGCCACTTTCCACGATTGGAAATTGGCAACGCGAATTCGAGGGTTGGACCGACCTCAATGTGATCACTTACCATGGCTCCAGCGCATCTCGGTGAGTTCTATTTTTTTCATTTTCTGTACATTATTTAAATCTGCTTTGGTAATAAACCACTACCGTGTAATATGCACCATTTTATCCACATATAACTGGTATATATATAGATTTCTGTTATCCTTCTAATATGCTTACTGATTCATAGGAAAAACTTGTGAAGCTATACTTAGTGAATTAATATGTTCTTATTTTACAATAATACTTTAAATGTGTTTAACAGGAATATGATTCAAGAATATGAAATGTACTATAAGGATGAGGAGGGCAAGCGAATTCTGGACGTCCAGAAGTTTCAGGTGCTTATCACCACGTTCGAGGTGATTCTATCAGACAACCAGGAACTATCAACTCTCTCATGGAAAGCGTGTGTTATTGATGAGGCACACAGATTGAAAAATCGCAATTGTAAACTGATCGAAGGTCTCCGTGTGCTGAAGTTCGATCACATCGTGCTTCTTTCCGGAACGCCCCTTCAGAACTCAGTTGAAGAGTTGTACTCTTTGCTCAACTTCCTTGAACCAGATCGATTTCATAGCCCTGAGGAATTTCTTCGGGATTTCGGAGATTTGAAAACCGAAGCTCAGGTAGATAAGCTGAAAGCGGTGCTCAAACCCATGATGCTTCGGCGACTGAAAGAAGACGTCGAAAAGTCACTCGCGCCTAAGGAGGAGACGATCATTGAGGTCGAGTTGACCAACGTTCAAAAGAAGTACTATCGTGCCATCCTGGAGAAAAACTTTAGTTTCCTATATAAAGGTACCCAGAGCGTGCCATCACTTATGAACACGATGATGGAACTACGAAAATGCTGCATACATCCATACCTCATTGCAGGTGCCGAAGAACAAATCCTCGCCGAGGCGAGGCAGAGTGGGGCGCCTGACTATGCTGTACAGGCCCTTATACAAGCTTCGGGTAAGTTAGTGCTTTGCGATAAATTACTGCCTCGACTCAAAGAAGGCGGCCACCGTGTGTTGATCTTTTCCCAGATGGTGCGCTGTCTAGATATACTTGAGGACTACCTCATCAACCGTAAGTACCCTTACGAGCGGTTGGACGGGCGAGTGCGTGGCAACCTTCGCCAAGCGGCCATCGACCGCTTTTGCAAGCCCGATTCAGATCGATTTGTATTCCTCCTGTGCACGCGTGCCGGAGGACTCGGTATTAATTTGACTGCGGCCGATACCTGTATAATATTCGACTCTGATTGGAACCCACAGAACGACTTACAAGCGCAGGCCCGGTGCCATCGAATCGGCCAGCGTAAAATGGTGAAGATCTATCGTCTAATTTGCCGCAACACATACGAGAGAGAGATGTTTGACAAAGCGGGCCTGAAACTTGGTCTGGACAAAGCGGTCTTGCAGAGTATTCAGAAGGAGGGTGGCGGAGGTGGCGGCGGGCAAATGTCTAAACAAGAAATCGAGGAGTTGCTCAAGAAAGGTGCCTACGGAGCTATTATGGACGATGACAATGCCGGTGATAAGTTTTGCGAGGAGGATATTGATCAAATCCTTTCCCGGCGCGCCACGACTATTACTATCGAGTCGGAAGGCAAAGGAAGCACCTTCTCCAAAGCTTCATTCGCTGTCAGTAGCAGTCGCGAGGATATCGACGTCGACGATCCTAACTTCTGGGAGAAATGGGCAAAAAAGGCTAACCTTGACGTGGAAACACTCAACAAGGGTGAGCAGGAAATGCTTATCCTGCAAGAGCCTCGAAGGAGAACTCAGGTCAAGCGTTTCGGGGCAAACGAACCTGTTACCGGAGAGCTTGGCGATATGGACTCTGACGAGGACGGTGACACCGGTGGGAGAAACCGTAAGGGCGGTAGAGGCAAGCGTGGCCATGCAGGCGACGCCGAAGACGACGAGTTCCTTGTCGAGATCTCCCCTGGTAACTGGACCCGGTCGGAGTGCTCGAACGTCGAAAAGGGCATGCTTACTTTTGGCTGGCAGCGATGGAATGAATGTATCGCGTATAGCGCTTGGCGCCGACCAGTCAATCCAACACAGGTGGAGCATATGGCACGTGTTATCCTACTGTTTTGTCTGCAATGCTATAAAGGCGATGACAAGATTAAAGCATTCATCTGGGACCTCATTGAACCACCTAATGTAAATCCGCCCGCTCCGGGTGGTGAGTCCAAGCGAGGCCGACCCGCGTCGAGACGAATGAGGAACCACTCAGGTCTCTCGGGGCCTGTGCCCCGGGGCAAAAAGGCTAAGAGAGGTCTTAATGGGCTCGACGCAGAGGACTCGAAGGACGCGGACGAGGAAAGCGATAGACTGCGCGAGTGGGCTCGTACCGAAGAGTTCGACACCGAGATCCTCTTGAGCGATGAAGTCTATCGCAAACACCTCCACCGGCATGCCAACAAAGTATTGCTACGCATCCGTATGCTGTACTACCTCCAGCATCACATCTTGGGTGAGACCCTGTCGCAACGTGTATTAACAGCCAGCGAAGAAAACCCACTGAAGAGCGAAGAGATTGATACGATCATGCCGACGCCTCCGAATCCGGACGGTGATCCACCAGCTCCCTGGTGGACAGAAGTGTGCGATAAGCATTTACTAGTCGGCGTATTCAAGCACGGCTACGAGCGATACGCCCAAGTGCGACAGGACCCCGAGCTCATATTTCATAAGATATGCGCCGATTCGGGAACTGAGCGTAACAATAACATAAAGGCAGGCGTAGATGAGATCGAAGAGGACACCCAGGAAGGCTCTAATAGTCAGGAAGGTTCAGAAGACCTTAAGGATAAGAAAGATGCTAAAGAGGACAAGAACAAGAAAGAGGCCAATGAAGAGAAAGGAAATAAGAAGGAGGCCAATGAAACAAATGAGGATAACCCCAAAGAAAAGGCTAGTGAAGGTAACGGAGAAAAAGATAAGGAGACTAACGGGGATAAGGAGAAGAAAGAAGCTAATGAAGAGAAAGACGAGAAGGAAGCTAACGAAGATAAGGACAATAATGAGGCAAAGAAAAATGGCGATAAGAAGAAGGCTGATGAAGATAAAGAGAAAGATGAGACCGAAGATAAGGACAAAGCTCAAACAAAAGAGGATAAAAACGAGGTTGAGATCAATGACGAAGAGGAGAAAGATAAAGATAAGCTGCAGGAGGATAAACAAGACATATGTCAGACCGCAGAAGATGCAGAGAAAACTGAAAAAGGGAAAGACAGATTAAATAATGAAGAGGAGGACGTTGAAAAGTCAAGCGAAGATACAATCGAAGGTGAGACAGCGAATGAGCACATTAAAAAGAAGGGCGATGGTGAGAAAGACACTAATGAAGGCAAAGAAGCTGATAAGGAAACAAAGAAGAAAAATGGAGAGGAAGATAAAGATGATGGCAACGATAAGGATAATAAAGACGTCGACAAAGAAGACGTAGAGATGAAGGAGGCTAAGAAAGAACCGGAAGAAGAGAATAACGATGTGGTCAAAGAAGAGAAAAAAGAGCCAGAAGAAGTCAAGCAAGAAAAGATGGAGCACGAAGATGCTAAGATTGAAGATAAGACCGAAAAACCCGAAGAGATCAAGAAAGTTAAGCCTGAACCCAAGGGCAAAAAGGGTAAAGAGAAGAAGGGCAAGAAGCGTAAAATTGAAGAGGATGATCTCAGTATAGCCAAGAACGATGAACAGAAATCCAAGGGCGCTGAAGATGCTGACTTGTCTAACCCAACAAAGGAGGTAAGTTTATTAATTCAAACTAAAAATTTAATTGCAACTAGGAATAAGTACTGAGATTATATACTATAGTTGTGTATTCATTAATAGTGGCAATAATCACTAAAACTGTAAGATACCATGTTCTGCCTCGTAGTCTTATTAAATACAAAATTAAGCGGACTTCTCTTATTCTATATTCAGTCCGATAGCATTGATACGACGAAACAAGATGCAGACGCTGAGAAGAAGGATGACAGCAAAGAGGAGCCGTTAAGAGAGGTCTCGAAATCGATGCCAGGCACAAACGAGCTGAATCAGCGGGTGCGGCGACTCGTGACGGCTTACCAGCGCGAGCATAAACGCAGGGAACTCCTCGAGATGCAGAACACCAACAAAGCGATAGTAAGTTTTCTTTTTGATTTAATGCACTTGCTACAGGCTATGAGAAACTAGTAAAGCGTAAACATGAATATTAGGAAAATAGTTGAGCATCTTCTCTTCTAAAAATACCATCGTTTTATTTTTCTTTAACTGTATGACAATTTACAGCGAGAGAGTCGGCGTTCGGATAGGTTCGATTCGAACCGAGTAGCCGCGGCTGCCGCGTCCGCCGCAGCCGGAACAACGAACCAACAACCTGCTGGCTCCACTCCCGTAAACACAACAGCCATTACGGGGGCCCCCGGTGGGGCAGGTAGCGGGTTGCTGGGCAGGCCCATGCTCACCTCGAAGCAGAGTCTGTTTACCGGCGCCCTGTATGCGGCTGCGACGGGTCAGGCGCCGAGGTGGTCGCGAAGGGAAGAATCGGAGTTCATCCGCACACTATCGGTATATGGGGTCGATTACGATCCTGAGAAAGAAGAGTTCCGCTGGGAGGCCTTCAGAAGGGTCGCCGGCATCGGCAAGCTTGACAAGAAAAGCGATATTCAACTCACGCTTTTCTACATGGTGTGTACACACATAAGCGCTTTCACCTCTATAAGCATTTTTTTAATGTAATAATTGTTCTACATTTTGTATTACACGATACTTACAGTCAGTATCTAACTTGATTTAGTTTCTTTAGTTGCCTATAAATATGTGGAAACATATACGAGTCTTCGCTATAGTTTTAACATAATGCAATGTAGATATGAGCTTAGCAAAATAAATAGTTACGTGTATTATACGCACCAGTCAATGGTATGTTACATTGTCGATTCCTCAATGGTTCATTTTTCGCTTATGTTCAGGCATTCATGTGTATGCTCAAGCGTTGTATGGCGCCTCGCTTAAAGACAACTGCCGAAGAGGAGCAAGCAGCTACCGTGCATCAAGTCGAAACGTTGTCTGAACAGCGGGCGTTCAACATTTTCCACCGTGTGGAATTTCTGCGCAAAATTCGTGAGAAACTTACTCCAACTCCATCGAGCATCTCGGCTCTCAAGGAGCGGCTACGTTCGAAGTGCAAACCCGACCCCGAACTTCCAGAATGGTGGGTGTGCGGGCGTCACGACGCCGAATTGATCGTGATTGCCAAGCGCTACGGGCTCGCCCACCTTGACTACGCGATGATGTGTGATACCACCGTTAGTTATCTCAACACTCTCAAAGAGCACCTCAAAAGCGCCGCTTTGCTAAATAAGAGTAGTCACAACAGGCACCAGGTGAGGGAGATCAAAGACGTAAAGGACACTTCGACGCGCGATCAGCAACGTGACGTTAAGAAAGACAATGCACCGGAGACTATTGAAAAAGCAAAAACTGACAAAGCCGAAAAAGCTGAAAAAGATAAGGACAACACCAAGAACGATAAAGTAGAGCTCATGGACACAAGTGAGTCACCAGAAATAAGCAGAGATAACAACAAAACCAACAAAACCAGTGTGGAGAAGACTGAAAAGGGAGCTCATGCATTTGAAGCAGATGAGAGAGACGAAAAACAGCCCGGTGAAATGGAGGTCGATCAAGACGATATCAAGGGCCAAGGTGAAACAGACAAGCTCACCGCAAATGGCGAACAACAGACTCGAGCCCAGAGAGAGGAGTCGCCAAAATCTGACAGCACCGAGCCCTTGGATGAATCGGTATGTGACACATTCCTTGATCAGTGGTATGTCGCCGATGTTTCCTACATTTTATTTAATTTGCTTGGGAAAGTCAATAAAATCAATTCATTTATTGCCATATTGAACATACATTTTGCGAGAGTTTAAATGATCATCATAAGTAGAGCACTAATAATATTAATAAAAATTGCATTTGTTAGAAAAAAAACATTTTTAAAAATTAAGGTTTAGACATCGCCGATACTAAAATTGAAATACTAACCTAGAAATAAAAAAAAAATATTATTCATACCAAATTTACAATTATTCAACTTGTTGCCATAAAGTTGCCACTATAAAGAAGCCTAGCCGTTAACGATGCATTGTAAAAAATTTAGGAGGAGAAAGAACGCGCCGCTTCATTGGAGTCCGGAAAGGCTAATAACTCCAAGTCTGACGGCGACGTTGAAATGGCAGAGGAACTCGAAAAGGAAACGAACAATGCCAGGGATAACCGCGCATCAAAATCGCCTGAGATTGGACTTGATGACCAAGAAGAAATGGAAGTTGACTCAGAACCAACAGAGAAAAAGACTGACAAAGTAGAGAAGGCTGACAAATCTGACAAGGCTGGAAAGATTGACGGGACTGAGGAGACTGACAAGGCCGAGAAGCTTAAAAAGGTCGGGATGGCTGATAAAAGCAAAAAGGCGGATAAAGCCCACAAAACTGACAAAACTGATAAGACCGGTAAGATCGAAAATGATAAAGTGAGCGAAGACATCAAACAGAAGAAGCCAATTAAAGAGGAAAAACTTGATAATGATAAGATGGAGGCAGGTGCTGAAACAGACGCTATTGGGAAGGCCAAGGAGTCTATCGTCAAGAAAGAAAAAGAGAAGAAAAAAGAGGATGAGAACAAATCCACCGCGATCGTAACAGCTTCGAACGGTACTCCTGAACTCGAACCCGAGCCTGAAACTTCCAGTATCCTCACACCTCAGGAAATCGCAGCCATCGATGCGCTCGACGCACAAGGCGTTGCCAAACTCGTGGCGAAGCAGCCCTCACTTTGGCCCAATGATAAGTTGATGCGCAAACGGCTTGAGTTTGTTGTATATGCAGCCGAGCAAGGACAATGGCCAGAACAAGTAACAGGCATTCTACTTGTTGATCCAGATCGACTTGAAGAAGAGCAACGCCACCAACAAGCTGCTCAACAGCAGGCCGCCCAACAGGCCGTACAACAACAGGCTGTTCAACAAGTCACTGGCCAGCAAGCCGTCACCCAGCAACAAGTGCAGCAACAACAACAACAATCACAGCAACAACAAATGGCAACAGCTGCACAGCAACAATTCCAACAACAACAGGCCACCGCGCAACAGCAGTTACAACAACAGAACACAACGCTGTCAGGAACGCGCTCTCAACAACAGGTCGCAGTTGTGGGGGCACCACAAGCGGTGCAACAACAGCAGCAACAGGTTACTGCGCAGCAGCTGCAGCAACAACAACAACAACAGCAAGCGCAACAGGTTCAACAGACACAACAGGCCGCTGTGGCGCAGCAGCAGACGGCAGCACAGCAACAAGCACAACAACAGGCAGCAGCACAACAGCAGCAGATAGCAGCACAGCAGCAAGCACAACAACAGGCCGCTGCGGCGCAACAACAAGTGGCAGCAGCAACAGCAGCACAGCAACAAGTGCAACAACAAGCTCAACAGCAGCAATCGACGTCCAGCCACCAGCTGCCCCGGCTTGACGGTCAGATACTGGGTGCACTGGCGGGTGGACTCAACATGAAAAGCCTGGATCTGATGGGCTTAAACGCCACCGGTGGCCTAAGTGCCGCCAATCTAGCTGCTCTTAGTGCCGCAATGAACCTTCTAACAAATCCCGTCCCTAAGCCGGGAAGGAGAGGCAGGAGCAGCAGGCAGGAAAACAAGGATAATGATGATCGTTCCGCGCAGCTTCGCGCTATGCTTTCCGCCACATTTGCGCAACAAGGCAACCCACTGAAGCAATTCCAACAGATGCTGTCGCTCCAGACCCCTTCTTCCGAGGCACTGGCGATGGAGATGTCGAAAAGCGGCATGTCGTCGTTATCGTCGATGGCCGGATTGTCAAATATGGCTGCGGCTGCAGCAGGCACCAGTGGAGTTACGGCTGCTGGACTTAGCGCGGCTGCTGCCGCTAACACCGCTACTTCCAGCAGCAGTGGCAGCAGTAACAGTACAATTAGCAGTAGAGACAATAAAGATGTCAATCTGAAACAGCAGCAGCAACAACAATCCGCTGTTGAGTCAGCTGTGACTGTAGCAGTGAAATCGGAGAAAAGACCCGCCGATACACCGCCGCCCGCTCATCAGTCTCATCGCGGAGGGCAAGGTGCATCCGACTCGCTCGATCTAAGCGGTCCTTCAAAATCGGGCAAGGCGGTCGAGCAACCCCCACAATTAGCACAGCATCAACGCCCCGCGTCTGTCGAATCGTCGGTGGAGTCCGAGTCGTCTCAGGAGAAGAAGGAGCGTAGCGGCCCAACTTCTGCTTCCGAAGGGACGTCGACAACCATCCTCGACCTGAGTTCCGCGAACCCCGTGAAGGACAAGGCAGATCCGGCAGACAAGCGTAGGCAAGGCTCATTGTCAAAGAAAGGCGGCTTCCGAATTGACGCGTTGGCGCTCAACTTGCAAGCCAAAAAACTCAAACAAAGTGGAACCGGGGGCTCAGGAGATGGCGACAGCGGGCCGCAAGCACCTTCGTCCGGCCAGCACTCATCCGATGAAGGTTTGCTGTCCCAGTCGCACGTTCTCGCCGAGCCCCCGATGTCGCTGCTCGCGCCCAAAGCCCACCAGAAGCATCCGGCCTCGTCCGCTAGTAGTGCGACGAGCAGTCTCGGCAGTCTGGCGTCTAACATAGGCATGACTAGCATGTCCAATATGGCCTCACTCACAAGCAGCACTCCGCCTGTGGCCCACCAAGGCTCCAAAAGCTCGGACAAAGCCGCTCCACAAGCGCCCGATACTGCCTCGCTACAGGGCAAACCAACAGCTGCGCATCAGGGCAGCAAGGGCACAGGGCTTCCTGCTGGCACAGACCTCCTGCTCGCCAAGGTAGCACAAGCCCAGCTCGCTGCAGCGGCCAGCAAAAACAAAGATAGCACCAATCTTCTTAAAGGTAAGTATAGCTACTTATTTACATATGAGATGGGGTATTTGAATTCGGACTGTGTTTTTCAACTTTTTTCTAAGACATTATTTTGAAGAAAAACAGATATTTCCATCATCTTTTTTTGCATATGCTAAAAGTGTCGTTTCTAACGGTTATGGTTATTCAGTATAATCACAATTCACAGAAGTTATATTTGTAAATGACAATCTGAATTTCTCACTACTCATTTTCAATTCAGTCAAATATTTTTCCCTTTTTGCAAATATTTTTTTTATCAGCAACCCTGCTTTAAGCTGTATTAATAAGTGTAAAGTCCTTAAACTAACGTCTAAATACGCTTCATAAAATATTACATTAAGATTAAATTTTGAACTGATAACAGGCTAAAACCTGTAATACGAAAGGTGCAAAAAGTCGCAGAAAGTATTAAGAAGACTAACCATTGGAGCTTTTCAAAGTTCCCTAATTGGCAATTGATATTCTATTTTTCAAAATCACCACATGAAATATGCAGATCTATCAAAAACAGCTTTTCGGGTATATTTGGTGAATTTTCGGAGTTATAATTTTGGCGGGGTAACGTCTGACCTTCGTTAAAATTTCAAAAACGACGCATTATTTTTCGTTATGGTAGATTAGCTATTTTGCTATAGAAAAGACTGGCTTTATCCACTGCGGCAGACAGCCGGCCAAAATCTATCCGATTTCAAATTCTCCACCCTAGATATATTAATAGATCGCTGATTCTAAATGTTCTATCTTTTTTACGTTGACGAAAAGGATGGTGCTGATTGTCACGATGATGCTTAATGTAATTATACTTAAGGTTATTTTACGCCTTCTGGTACAGTGATGTTTCTTAGTACAAGGTTATGAACTTGGCTAAAAAAGTATAAAACCTCTGTCACAAGGTCCCTCTGCATTATATCCATCTGCTCCTTATGTGCCGTATATAACAATCAACCTGAGATAACTTACATAATTCATCTAATACCACCCACAGGCGTAGGCTCCTCAAAAAATCCGAGTTTGTCACTTTCAACGCTGCTGAGTCAGATGCTACCCACATCTCTTGCGTCAGCGATGGCCAGTGGGTCCAACTCCGCTGCATCCGCGCTTTTCTCCACTGCTGGAGCGAGTTCCAGCAAGGATTCTTCCAAGGCTAAATTACCAACCTGTACTGACAACCAGTTCAAGAAGATGCTTGAGACCAATCCCGACTTTTTAGCAGCCGCGTTGGGTAGCGCCGGCGGCAACCCCGCCAATACCAAGGCTCTGGCATTTGCCATGGCTGCAGCCATGGCAGGTACTGGGGCAGGAAGCAACCAGTCCATGGATCTTTTTGGAGGTTGGCAACTTTTGATTATCATAAGCTCTGTGCAATGTAGGCAATTTTTTTCGTAACAGCGTATATCAGGGGTATTGAATTCTTGTCCTTCCAACTACTACTATCGCTACGTATGATTGCTATCTATTATATATTCGTATTAGTTATTAATCTATATATCATTAAAGTTTCTTCATTTGTTTTAATCAAAGCGTCTTGTTCCCTGTACACAAATAAAGAAACGAAACCAACCTAGAAACTCAGAGCCTTCAGAAACGTAACAGCGTACGTCTATTTGTTTTTTTTATTTAACATAGAATGTTTCCATTAACATGCATATTTATAATATTGCTATCTGTATCATTTTGTTATTTTAGGTCTGTCAGGGATGGGCGGAAGTATGGGTCAGTTAAGTCAGAAGCCGTCAAGCAGTCTACAGTCGGTCCCGGGCACCAGTTCCAGCCGACCATCTAGCATAGACCCCACGAAATTGGACCCAAGTAAGCTTACCGGTGAAGAGAATGTATCCGTAATTAACAAACTGACCGGAAAGAAGATTACTGGCAGTAAAGCACCCCCACTAAAGCATCTACCCGAATGGCTTGAACGCAACCCAATGTTTGAAGTTGAGCCTAAATGGGGCCAGCTCATCAAGGAGCGTATGAATTTGCACAATACGCCAAAGGTGTCCACTTTGGGCGCTAGTGCCGCTGATTCCCTGGCCAGCCTTGGCTCTATGGCCGCCGCCTCTGCAGCGTCCGCAGCCCAACACCAAGCAATTGGCAAGAACAAGCCACGAAGCAGTTCCAGTTCCGGTCGGCAGAGTTTGAGCTCTCTTGATCCCAAAACAGCAGCACTGCTAGCGAGCCTTCAAAGCGATCCTAAAACAACCGCCACTCTACTGGGCATGGACCCAAAAACAGCTAGTTTGCTTGCGGGACTGCATAAAGACACGAAAGGTGCCAGCTCAAGCACATCTACGACCAACTCAAGCAATCTCCTAGGTCTCGATCCAACCACGGCCAGTTTGGCTAGCGATCCCAAAGGTGCTGCAGCCCTTTTGGCTGCGGCTGGCCTAATGCCAGGCACAAGCAGTATGGCCGGCCTAGCTGGGCTTAATCCAATGACTGGTTTGCCTGATCTTAAATATCTTATGGGCCAAACTGGCGTCAATACGTCATCTTCAGGCAAGACAACAACCTCCACCTCTGTAAGTCATTCTCAGAGTAGCAGGTCGCTCGGTAGTTCTGGTGGTAGTGGAGGTATAGGCGGAGGAAGCAGTAAAAATGCGGCAGCGGCAGCAGCAGCAGCAGCTGCATCTGCAGCGAACCCGATTTTCCTGCCATGGATGGGTCTCGGAAATCCACTATTCCCCTTGTCTGGGCTAGGTACCCCAACCTCCAGCGCGTCATCCATAATGCCCCAGATGTCCCAATTCGACGCTGCTGCCGCCTTGGCTGCAGCGGCCGGTGCCTCACAAGCTATGGCTGCCAGCGACAAAAATAAGAAGTCTGGGTCCTCCAGCTCAGATAAAAGCTCAAAGAAAGGCCCCACCAGCTCGACGTCGTCGTCGACGTCCAGCCTAAACCCAATGTCGTCTTTCCCCTTCCTGTATCCATCAGCTAGCCTGTTGGCTGGCTACCCGCTCGGTATCCCAGGATTCTCGGGTATGCCGGGACTTTCCGGGTTACCCGGGTCGGGTCTTAATCCTAATCTTCTTCCAGGCGCGTCAGGCATGTCTTCTAGCTTCGCGTCGTTAGCCCATCAAAACGTAAATGGACAGATTGACAAGGAGAGGAAGCGACGCTCTGATAGCGTCTCCAAGCGGCAGGTGTCTCCAGCTCGCAGTGTGGGCTCGACGAAGTCGTCGGCGGCGCCCAGTCCCAGCTCGAGCAAGTCGGCCACCCCCGTGCCCCAGCCGCCCTCCAAAGACATGCGTGAGGACCGGGAGGAGGACGAGGAGGGCGACGAACTCAAGGACGGCCCCAACCCAGATGGCGGCAAAGAGAAAGCATAATCCTAGGTGACAACAATAACGATGGAAATTGGACCAGCTTTCGTTAGCCCACCACACTATCGACCCACCGACTGAATGTATTACTACTACTAGTAGCATCATCAACGTCCTGTGGCATTCACGTCGGAAAGTCCTGCGTACATCGTCCCTGGCGTGTACATACATTTCGCGACATGGACATTTTTGCCGCAATGGCAAATAGCAACATCAGCAAGAAAAGCAACAACAACAGGTTCATCTCCAGCAACCTGATGAAACCAATCTACCAGCTGCAACAAGCATCACAACAATAGAAACAACAACAATTAGACATATTTGAAATAGTTTTTCAGAACAAACGCGAGTGCGCTCAAAGCGCGACCCTACACACGGTGTGGTTAGGCTTTTCTCTAAGGGGCTTGGTTTTTTGAATTCTCTTTTTTGTGTTGTATAAATATGTAAATGTAACTTATTGAATAGTTTAGAGAAAGATAAGACAGAAGGGAGCAAGCAAGAAAGAAGCGGGACAGAACGAGATAAGCGAAAACGGGAGAGCAAGACACTGCACGGCAGATGATGATAACAATTATAATAATAAGAAGACTTTGCGTTGAAACGGAATATATATATATATATATATATACATATACATATATAAATAATAATAATAATAAAGAGCGCGAAAATGGGGATGGACGAGAAAGAAGAAAGCCAGCGAGAAAACGCGTAAAAGAGATATAATGATGCTGATAATAATGAAACGTACAGATATTGCATGATGCGACGTGATGCTAATAATAAGCACAGCGATGATGATCCTGACCATGGGAAAAGTTAATGATAAAATACCGCTGACCCGCAAGTCGACCCGATTCCTTTGCATTACGAAAGCGACAACGCAAAAACTGGTGAGACTGGGTGAGGAGGGACCGGTCATTGAGGTCGAGCTGCCCCGCGGGCCACGGGGGCCGTGTCCGTTCTCTTTCGAGATTAGTAAGCCACTTTTATTTTTTATACAGTACGCGTGCATGTGAGAACGAAGAGGAGACAGGGAGGACAAGAAAGGAAGAAATAAAATGGAGAAGAAAAATCGTGAAGGACAAGGGAGGGAAGCTTTGGATCGCTGACGCAACAGCAATCGCTGCAAGAACGAAACAGGAAAACGGGTCAAAAATTGAGAGATTTATTTGAAAAAAAACAGGTCCAGAGAGAAGCTTAGACAATGTAAGTACGAGAGAAAAATAGGGCTGGGGAAGAGTATTCATTTATATAACAACAGAAACCACAACCAGAATCCATGTAGGTGTCCGCACGTACTGTAAAGGTTGTCGCTGACGTTGGCGTAATGTTACGTTAGGTGAGCGTAAACAATTCAACTTGTGGTGGTAATAGCGAAATTCGTCGTGAAGAACACAATTAAATACAAACTGGACGACAGTAGTAATAAGGGGAAATAGAGGAAACGAAAAAAGGCCGATTTAGACGCGCCTTATTGCCTACATAATAAAACGCCGTGGATTAGTTTCCCACGCGTGCCAACTAAGGCCCCCCACTGCTACTGCTGCTGTTAATCATGAAAAACAATGATGAGGGTATGACTGAGTACGTATGCGACTAGACATGAAGACGCTGAGGGAGTTAGCGCAGCTCTGATTATGGTAGTTTTTCAACGAGGGAAACAAGATGCAGTGAGCAACGGCACTAAGAAAAAGAACCATGAACCTTTGTGAACCAGGAACACAAAAATAACAGCAACAACGACAAGAACACCAGCAACAACCATATGACAACAACAACCACAATACTACTAACAATAATGAAATGCCGATAATAATGATAAAATAATAATTATTATTATAATGAGAGACACCAAACTACAGGGCGACAATGTGACATACTTCGTAGAGATATGTAGAAAAGAGATTTTGGAAGACGGGACGCGAACAGCTGTAACTAGTAGATAACGATGATCAGTCGAAACAAAAAGAAAGAGGGACCGACAGAGAGCGAGAGAGAGAGAGAGAGAGAGCAAGAGAGAGAAAGAGAGTGCGCGCGAGAGAGAGAGAAAGATAGATAGAGAGAGCGAGAGAGAGAGAAAGAGAGAGAGAGAGAGCAAGAGCAACAGCGAGAAAGAGATAATAAAGAGAAAGAGAATATCTTAAAGAAATGACAGACGCGCACATCATGATCAGATACGTGACACGTTAAAGATGTTTTTTTTTCGACTGAAGATGGTCACTTGCACACACAAACATATACACGTTACTTATGTATACCCAAGAGTAACGATGAAAAGCGAAACACACACAGGCACAACACGAGCAACGCCCTACAAATCTGAGCGACGACACAAAGGAAGACAGCAAATTTGACTCAATCATTTGTTACAAATAATTATAATAGTAGCAGTAACAATAATAAGAAGATGACCACTGATGCTGATCATACTAATGGTGACAATATTCGACGAAACAAGCTGAGATAAAACGGCGAATGAGAGAAAAAATTGATTGATTGTCGTCTATATATATATATATATATATATATATATATATATATATATATATATATATATATATATATGACCTGGTGGAATTCACTAAAATGAGAATTACTTTATTATTATTGTGATATAGTGTTACGTGTAAATACATTTCAGAGACGATAATAGTAATATTATATTATTATTATCTAAAGAAGATAAATAAAACATAGCTCGATAGCTGTATAATAATAATAATAATTATATTATTAATAATAATATCAGACGAGACTTGGCTGAATATTGATCATACGCATAGGTACTTAATAGATTTAAGTTATGCGATCTTCTAATAAAGAATAAATAATAAATGTGCGATGTAAATAAAAAAAATGTGAATTGATTTGCCTTTTCGGTTGTTCGCCTACTACATACTATTTAGAGATTTTTAGAAATATCATTAACTAGCAAACGAAACCAATATGTTATTTTTTTAAGGCATAGCTTACAAAATGGGGTGACCATGATAGCACAAGGCTCAATGCCTTTTGACTTTAAGGCAACGTTAAGTATGTTTGTCTAGTTCTATTCATGACGTTTCTATCGTCTTTGTGCAAACTGTAGGTATGAGCGATTCTAGTATACATAGCAGCAATATTTTTTTGAAAAATAGTAATGCGATATGAGCAGAATTTGCTCGAATATTGTAAATAGGTAATACAATAACTAGAGTAAACTGAGCTTCAGGTCTGCTGTTGCGGGTTTATTATGTAGCAGCATATCAAGCACAAGAATTTTATGCGTCAGATAACAGTGGTAGAAAATAGAGAACTTTTTCGCAGCCGACTGTCAGCCGATCCTTTGGACAAAAAGCCTGGGTGCTAATACTTTACAACGTTTCAATGACCTATCACAGTGGCGGCTCTAAAACGACCAAGCGGTACAAGGAATGATTATATACCTCGGTTTTACAATTGCTTCGAGTTCACTGGGAAATGATGGTGAATGAATATACACTCTTGTTTGAATGTGAACCGTCTTTATGATACTGCAATTTCGGGAAAAGCTATGCCGTTGAAGGATTGTGGGCATAACGGAAATGGCAAAGACCTTTGCTGAGATTCAACTAAATCTACAAAGGCGCTCACGGAAAACATCACTAGATATTAACCCTTAGGAATTTTCTAGAAGGATTTTTCGCCTATTTACGTATTTAACACTAGCAAAGCTAAGTTTCTGTCGATTTATCAACCTCACTGCGAGGGATCTTTTCCTCTTTATCGACTGCGTAGGCCATGATACGGGAATCCCTAAGAATTAGGATAATTTACTGTACCGAACGATTAAACTCTTGGGATAGAGTGCACATAAAGCTATGATATTTGCGTAAAGTTAATACCAAATTATAAATCTAACATGTTCACGGAAATACAAATCATTACCTAAACCTACTTGAGCGTCGGTATCAGAATGAAGAGTTGTACTTATCATAATGCCTAAACCTCAACAACCTTTGCATTAGTCAATTTAGCCGATATAAAAATATTTTAAATTTTTACTCTATTTAAAGTTTACAATAGTCAACAAGAGCACAATAAGTACGCCGAGATATCCGATGCAACCAAGTCTTTTAATCGCTTGTGATTGTATGGCAGTGTATGAGCGGTTTGTCCGACTTGTCGAAGTGATTGCAGCACTGAGAACAGTAAGGACGCAATAGCTAGTAATTACCAGGTCTTATTCTGGCCTTCCCCTCGCATTCTTGACAGAGTTACAAATCAGCCGGTCGACAGATGTTCATCAGCAGTGGGCAGGTGGAGCGTCCGCAAGACGAATAGTAAGGGATTTCGCGTGTTCTTAATTCTTAATTTGCAGCCAACTTGTGTGAAGCTGACGACTACACCATTGGCTTACGACGAGACGAGAACATCTGAGAGAAGAGCTACGAATTTAGCATCAAACGAATGAAACGCCTTCTGCTGCCTGTCCGCCCGTCAGAGCTGGTAGAGACTCGATCTGCAAGCAGCCAAGCGTAGAATAAACTCATCCAGCTACCTTGAAAGGCTTCGCGATGAAAGGGAATTTAAATCACCCGTACTGCATCGACAACCTGTGCTCCTTCTAACAACGTTAGCTAGTTAGTTGGTTAATTTCTCGTTATTATCATTATCAATTCTGCTTGTTTATCTAGCAACCGAAAACTAAATGAACTGAAACGCGGAGTAAAACAATTTTTGATTTCCATGAATATAGCTAACTTTTTGTTCTGCTGTTACAATACAATTATAATAACAGAAAAAATTCACGCACCTCTCCATCTCTAAGTGGTTTGAAAAGGTTACATTAGCAGCATGTACATATCTCCCCTATAATTCACTGGTTTCTAGTAATATAGTACTTACAAAAAAAAAAGCTTATCATAAAGCGTTTTCAATAGATGGTTAAATTTGTTATGAAATTTACAATGAAGTGCATTCATATACCGAGAAGCTATAATGAAACTATAAGATACATAGATAGATCGACCATTTTCGGTTTTGCCATGTGTATAGAAACGATTATAGATACGACAAAAGGAAAATGAGAAACTCCTTCAAAAAATAACTGTGTCTTGTACCCTAGAGCTCCTAACAAATCAACAGGTACTTTCAGCTTTATCATACTTCATCATAATATTAGCAACTTAAAAAATAAGCGTACATCTTTATTTTTGCCTCAAGCGCCATGTAGGTTCGAAAGATGAAGCGTTTATACCAGTATAATTTACATCGCTTGATAATCTATAATATTTTTGCAGATTTTTTGGTTGACCCCCAATGAATAATTGCAAATATAAACACAACTTGCCGCATGCATATTGAGTAGGAGGGAGCTCAGTCATGTCGTAAAAGTATTATAATACTTCATAACACATATGCACAGGACAATGGAAATTCTTCACAAATCTCATCTGAATTTTCCGCGATCATAAGCACAGTTATCGCCGATTATTTCAGATTGCTGTCAAGTCAGCTTCGTATTATTGTATACAACCCTTTTAAAACATTTTTTTGTCTCTGGTGCTTCCCCATTGTTGTTAGTTTAATATAAAATCTTGTTATAGGCCCTAGCGGAGACTGGAAAAACGGTAATACCTCAGTAAATGTAGAGCACACGTTTATGAGCATCGGCGGCTGCACATCGGCTGAAAAGATTCCATTGCTGCGGCGGAATATAGGTCATAAATAGATATTACTATCATTTATAAAAAGTCGCCCTAATTTAATGTTATAACCATTTAACTTTGCCTTGAGGTCATATTGTCAGGGAGAAACGTTAGTGATGTACATATAATACATGATAGGGCGTATAGCTGAGCATGCTGAGAGTCTCTTGTAGAACTGGTCCAATCAACCAGTTCTGTAACACCCTGAAACTATTCTGATACCGATAAGCTTTTCTTTAAACAAACGCACTTTTTCACCGTAAACAAATGAAAGAAGCATCATAATAGATCACATTATCCGAAACAAAATTCACAAAACCATTGCACACTTGAGCTTCGTGTATGATTCCTTTACAGTATTATTAATACCTTGCTTGTTTGACTTGTTTTTCGTCTGTAGCAGCAGCAATGTGAATATTGGAAGTTATTGATTTAGTTATTCAATCGGTTCATATACTGTTTTTTTAATACATGCTTTACCTGCTGTTACGTTTAGATTGAGTTAACTAAACGAATAAATAGAAAAAATGGGTGCACTTGAAGAGCCAGTGATATATATATATATATATATGGCTTAGCAGATGGACTGGGTTCCTCATATGTAAGGACGAAAGAAGAAAAAGATTAATTGCAAAGTATAAACTTTTTGGTTTTCCCTAGTTCTCCCTCTCACTGGTGGTCACTGGTGTGGCCCCAAGGTTCCGCCTCGCCTGCCTCGTTCGATGGGATTGGCCGGTCAAGTGCTAGGATGAAGTTAACCCCACAGAGTGCGGTTCTTCATGGACTTGCTGTTGCGGGTCAACAATAGTAGTAACAGAAGTGACTAGCCAGCGAGCGACCAAGTCAACAGCTACACTGGCACAAGTCGTCGTGGCGGTACCAGTGGCGGCAACGTACTTGCCATCGAACGAAAGTAAGCTGGAGACAACAGGATGAACTACTCAGAAAACCAAATGATCCCCAAGTAACGGTCTCTTTGCCGGCAACGCAAAAGTTGGGAACGGGGGGGTATAGGTAAAGGCTACCTAATAGAGGCCGTTAAAAGTGGGGCCTTATGTAGGGGGAAAGCCACGAGGAAGGCCAAGGATACCCACTGCGGACGCTCTTGGAAGTCCCGCAGCTCTCCAACTGCGGGCCGCATGGAGTTCCTGCAGTTGGGAAAGGAGACTGAGGAGAAGAAGGGTTGGGTTAGTCGAAGATGGCTATGCCAGGTCAGCTCGGGTCAAAGAAAACGCCTCACCAAAGGAGTACTTGCTGGCCGGTTGGTGGGACTGATGTCGTGAAGGTGGATAGACAAAAGGGTAAAAGGGTATTAGAAAGTTTGCATCTCGTCCGGCATTCTGCTATTGCTCATGGACGTAGGAGCTGCTGCCCGGTGGATAAGGCCGTTGGATGAATGCAGAAACCAGTGTGTTGGGTACGTCTAGGGGCGAACAGACTACGGATTGTCCTATGTCTTGGTTGTTCCAGTGAGTAGCGGTGATTGGCCCCACATGTTGGTGCATACTAGGAGGCGCCAATACCTCAGCCTCCGTCTCCCCTCTGCCAGAAGAGCTAGGGGGCAAACACAATGGAGCTAAGGGAACGAAAATATTCCCAAATAAGCTGTACCCTCCTGCTGGTAGGGGAAACGCAGCAAAAGAAATTAAAAAAGAATAAAATAAAAACGATCTATATCCTCAAAATTAGTATTAGGATGGAATTTTATCATACGATGTACCCTGTGCAAGTAATAGCCTATTTTTTGGTTTCACTTTAATAAATAAATATAATACCAAATAAAGAAGAATATGTAGACAATACATTACAACAGGGTGGTCTATACATCTGCGTTCTCCCCACACCTTTTTGAAAGTTTATAAAGGTGAAAAGACGCTGACATATACAGAGAGCTCTAATGTTCTTCGCTAAGTTGATTGTGCTAAAAAGGCGAACAGTTGAAGCCTGAGTTGGTTTCATTAAGCCGTTTTCGTCTATGCGCGAAAGACAATCTGACAATGGTTTCTTGAGCTTTGGAGGTACAAAATAGCCCGGTTTTATAAAGGTGAGTGTTGAAGTATTTCCTACCCGATCAGTTCGACCACTGCTTGAATATAAACTTTAAGTGCATCGGTAGTTGTTAGTCTATTTGCTTAGCATTTTCCCAACTCCACATCGAGAGCAGCTCGGTCAGAAGATG